TATCTAATAACTATTCTAACCAAGAAAATACTAAAAATAAATTCCCAGCTGTGTTTATAATCAGGAGTATAGTAGTGAGGTCTGGACTGGATCTCTGTCAGTGACCAGGTAGCTTAATTGGTTAGAGTATATCTAAGTGACCAGGTAGCTTAATGGGTTAGAGTCTATCTAGAGTTTTGAGTCTGGACTGGGTCTCTGTCAGTGACCAGGTAGCTTAATTGGTTAGAGTATATCTAAGTGACCAGGTAGCTTAATTGGTTAGAGTCTATCTAGAGTTTTGAGTCTGGATTGGATCTCTGTCAGTGAGTCTATCTAGAGTTTTGAGTCTCGACTGGATCTCTGTCAGTGAGTCTAGCTAGAGTTTTGAGTCTGGACTGGATCTATGTCAGTGAGTCTATCTAGAGTTTTGAGTCTGGATTGGATCTCTGTCAGTGAGTCTATCTAGAGTTTTGAGTCTCGACTGGATCTCTGTCAGTGAGTCTAGCTAGAGTTTTGAGTCTGGACTGGATCTATGTCAGTGAGTCTATCTAGAGTTTTGAGGTCCTGTGATCTAATCCCAGTGTAGAATGATTACATTTTTCCTTTCCTGATACAGCGGTGCCTTTGACAAACTCCTATTTCAATCACCTCAATTGGCTAGCTAGAGCATCGATCTTTCTTGTTCAAATGCAGTACTGCCCTGTTGCTCCAAGTCTGTAACTGATGTTCACCCCATCCTAAGGTTAGAGTCTATCTAAGTGACCAGGTAGCTTAATTGGTTAGAGTCTATCTAAGTGACTAGGTAGCTTAATTGGTTAGAGTCTATCTAGAGTTTTGAGTCTGGATTGGATCTCTGTCAGTGAGTCTATCTAGGGTTTTGAGTGTGGACTGGATCTCTGTCAGTGAGTCAATCTAGAGTTTTGAGTCTGGACTGGATCTCTGTCCGTGAGTCTATCTCGAGGTTTGAGTCTGGACTGGATCTCTGTCAGAGAGTCTATCTAGAGTTTTGAGTCTGGACTGTATCTCTGTCAGTGAGTCTATCTAGAGGTTTGAGGTCCTGTGTTCTAATCCCAGTGTAGAATGATTACATTTTTCCTTTCCTGATACAGCGGTGCCTTTGACAAACTCCTATTTCAATCACCTCAATTGGCTAGCTAGAGCATCGATCTTTCTTGTTCAAATGCAGTACTGCCCTGTTGCTCCAAGTCTGTAACTGATGTTCACCCCATCCTAAGGTTAGAGTCTATCTAAGTGACCAGGTAGCTTAATTGGTAAGAGTCTATCTAGAGTTTTGAGTCTGGATTGGATCTCTGTCAGTGAGTCTATCTAGGGTTTTGAGTGTGGACTGGATCTCTGTCAGTGAGTCTGTCTAGAGTTTTGAGTCTGGACTGGATCTATGTCAGTGAGTCTATCTAGAGTTTTGAGTCTGGACTGGATCTCTGTCCGTGAGTCTATCTCGAGGTTTGAGTCTGGACTGGATCTCTGTCAGGGAGTCTATCTAGAGTTTTGAGTCTGGACTGGATCTCTGTCAGTGAGTCTATCTAGAGTTTTGAGGTCCTGTGTTCTAATCCCAGTGTAGAATGATTACATTTTTCCTTTCCTGATACAGCGGTGCCTGTGACAAACTCCTATTTCAATCACCTCAATTGGCTAGCTAGAGCATCGATCTTTCTTGTTCAAATGCAGTACTGCCCTGTTGCTCCAAGTCTGTAACTGATGTTCACCCCATCCTAAGGTTGCTCCATATCTGTGACTAATTCCCTGAGGTATCTTCGGCTCTGTGACTGAAGCCACCTCTCCCCTCCCCCACTCAAAGATTGCTCTACGATACCTGTGACTGATCTCCCACCCAGGTGGCGTCAACTCAAAGCGAACTTGCCTTTCACCAAGGCGGCCGAGGTTCAATTCCCCTATCGAACATGAAAAGGTATGGGGTCACCTGCCCGGCCATGTGAGTTTTCTCCGGGGTACTCTGGTTTCCTCCCACATTTAGACCCTTTGCATGCTAACATCCGAGCTAATAAGAGTTATTAATATAAGTTGAAATAATTTGTTTCATAATTGTTGTAAAATAAATAAAGTTTACTCCGACTCTGTAAAAATACATCCCCTGCCACCCACCTACCCAATTAAGTGGCTAACTCTGCGACAAGGATAATGTAATAATTTGCATAATTCAACCTAGCTAATAAAAGTTCTATATATATATAGTCCATCTCAAAACTTCAATGATTTAATTAATGATAACGAAATGAAGGCCAGCTCTTATAAACAACGAAAAGTATTACACATGTGATATGCTTTGTATTGAAAATGGTTTGGAACACACGTACCAGATATTTTTTTTCAATTTTAAAATAAAGTATCTATGAAATTTTCATTCACAAAATTATTATGCAATGGACAGAAGTCATCCTTTTACTCTTTAGAACCGACCGTTTTCCAATAGCAATAAATAATTTAGTGGGCAGCAGTAAACCCTATATCAGCCTGTACGTGAACCAACTGTTTCCCCAGGAATACTAATGCAGTGATCATGTACAGCACAGGCCAATGAAACCAACTGTTGCCCACTGTGAAGCAGCTAGGCTTTCTTTTCATATATTTTTGCTTGAAAACAAAGCAATCTGTTGATTCTGAAAACTTCTTTTAATTTGCTTTTATACTATTTCAATCACCTGCTAACACAAACAACAGTATCAGGTTCTTGTGAGCTTAATTGTCCATTAGTATGCACTTCAAATTAGTATAGTTTTCCCCTAGAACTGCCAAATCTATTTCACCAGCATCAATTAACCAATTGGGCGGTTCTCTTTTAGAGTATCATATTGCTTCAACATATCTACAGTTAAATCTGTATTAGGAGACTACCCAAGAACATTTTAGACTCTAAGCTGGTCTCTTAACAAAGATGGAACAGTTGAGTATAAAGTTAAATGCTTTATAAGGATGATAGAGAAAGTGGTGATCTTTTCAGAGAAAGCTCTAGACAAGGTTAAGGTAGTCTCTCATGCAGATACTTCTCAATGTAATTTTATGTACGGTAGCTATTAAATCTCACAAGTCCCAAATAACAGTTATACAAGCAACCAATCATCTATTCCTCATCAATATTCAATGTTATGTAAGTCAATATGAAGCCTACATTGTTTTCAATGTTTCATGTAAGTTTTCCTGTGATAAATTTAACGATATTTTATACAATATAAAGTAACCAATAAGGCCAGAATCAGATACATTGTCTCCTTGGACACCGGTCACCATGCATGATGCAGGGATCATGCAGGGCACTGGAGAACCTGGAAAAAACCTGCAATCTGGCACATGGCCAGAATCGGGTGACCCTATACATATTCACATCCAATTGGGGAATCAAACTCCGGCCTACTAGTGCATGCAAGGTATATACATGTAGTGACCAGAAATATGAGAATTCTAATGAAAAGTATTGAAAGCTGGAAATTAAACTATATATTGAAAACAGGAAATTTAATTATGTACAAGCCTAGCTATCATATTTACTGTAATTAGTGCCCAGGACAGCCACCTTGGTACAAATATTCTTGAAAAAATCGGCTGAAGGCTAGGGTATACATAGATGACAAAAACATAAGTATATATGATATATCAGTCCAATTACAGTGCCTGGACCAATCTAGTGAAAACATTAATGGCTGATTTTCGATTTTCGATTTATTAAAAGCATGCAATTAATATATAAACACAATTATCAGGTAATGTTTGCTCTTTAGAATAGTTTAGTTACGTCTCTTTGATATCAGATGTAATATAAGTTAATGACAACATTTACTGCAGATTAGCAATCAAATGTACGTCTCAACAGCTATATAAGCAAACATTTACAAACTGAACATTGGCATTGGTATCAGATTTAAAAGTCAATAAATGGTCAGGTGTACTACATATATATACAATAAATGGTCAGGTGTACATATATACAATAAATGGTGACATGCTGCCAATTGTTCCCTTTGTGTATTGACGGTTTTAAATTTGAGATGACACTTTTTTGTGTGTACATTGAAAAGGGCACCAGGTTGAAACTTGTAACAGTAATACACATACTTTACAACAATTTAATTCACTGACAGTGACAGCTGGTAATAAAAGCACAAACTAAATCCATTGATTCAGATTTTATACGTGGACCCTAAAGTTAATGATCCGTCATCTTGATTCTAGCGTAAACTCCTACAATGAAATCTTTGAAGCGAACTGAATACTTGTTATGCATACTGGTGCTAACATAACTTGTTCAGATATGACAATTAATATTAATATGTATGTTACATTTGTAGTTCAGTTTAAATAATTCAATTACCATTACAAGTCTGAAAATAAAAGTTTAATGATAATTTCCAGGATTAAGACAGACAGGCAATAATGCACATGATGCACGGTATAATTTGTGCAAGTTGTAGATCATCCAAACAATTTGTTAAGTGCGATAAGTTTGACATTGAAGTTTGGATTATTTAGAAAATTCAAAATTATCATTATCTGTTATTATATAAATACTATACTAAAGGTATAAATTAACACATACAGTACCCTTTATAAAAAAATATATAAAGTTATCAACTAAAAGTGGTGCAACTTATTTGTTAGATTTTCTTTTAATCAAATTATAATCTTACCTATATTAGTTGCATAAATTCTATTTTTAGAAACTGCTTCAAAATATTATGCAGACATTTCAATTTTCACACTAGGCCTATTGAATCTATATCTTCCAAATTCTAGGACATGTTCTTACACAGTTATGATCAATCTTTATGATATAAACATGATCAATTCCGTATCAATAGCTAATAAAACGATGTCGAGTCCGTTAGGTGGTTTACGTTCACAGTGGCCTATTTATGCAGCGCCATTCATATTTCAAGACGATGTTTGTAAACAAACCGTGGCCTCGCATGACAGCTGACTGACAGCGGGAGCGCATTATGAGATAACAGACCGTAAAATGACCACACAACATAACGTAACTAGATAATTACCAGGCTTAGCCGCAGTCGGTCAAGCGTGTCTTGTTCTTGACCAGAGAATGCCCGATGGTCATACCAGTATGCAAGACTTTCCCTTCTGAAGAGATCGCAGTGTATATTATGCCCGAGGGTGAGTGCAAACCGTGACACTACGCATGAATTGGTGACGTAGTACACAAGCACATGCAGAAAGCAGGATGGCGCTTGATATGAGGAAAAATCAAGATGCTCTTATCAAGAGTTACCGGGATGTTGTGGATGAAAAATCGGACACGGATTGGTGAGACTGGTCTTTTCTTAACCAATAATTAATTTGGATTAATGTTAAGCACACTCCAATCGTGCACAAAACTGAAATAACCTGTTTGTTATCGCCAACCCGCCCATTTTCTCTTGTCAGTGTCACTCCCAGCTATATATACTTCCGGTTATTGTTTCTGTTTATTTATTTATTAATCGGGACCGATATCACATCCAAATATACTTAGATGTTTAGGTCGTAAGCAAACCTTACGATTGAAAACATTCTGCATGTTGTCAGGTGTCAATGACCCAAGGAATCGTATCGGTTTCTATCGACTTCTGTGCAACCGTATCAGGCCTAGGGTTGATTTCACCTGTTGAACACTTGACTCATGTTATGAATCATCACAGCTTAACTCGGTGTCACTGTACCCTGGGGTTAATACTGTGTACAGGCTGATAGTCTTTTTCTGCACTTCCATGATCTGTTAGAACTGCCACTTGGGATTATTTGTTGAAATATATTTATGTATATTATTTTGATACATCGCCCTTGATGAAAATTAATTTTAAATTGTTATCCACTTATTTTTCAAGATGGAACAAAATGTTACACATTGATTAGACATTCATATATTGTAACTAATCAATATTGTAACTAATCAATAGGTACTTGACATAACATACTTGCCAACTTTTTGATGGAGATTCATTCAGTGAGTGATCATGAATGCTCAAAATTAAAACATAAATAATATGTGTGTATAACACCCCCCCCCCCCCCCCCCCCCCAGCTCGACAAAATTATCCCTTGTTTTTCTTTTAGATGAAATTAATAGATCTTAGAATATAAGAACAATTAAGCAAATTAACAGGTTGAAAATCTGGAGTTCCCTCCTAGACGGTTGGCATATATGACAATGATTATAAATATACGTTGAAAATAATCTTACTTGTTTTCTTCTGCAAGCACACATATTCCTTTTATCAATTAGACATTGGAATCAAATTTTAGTTGCATTTAATTTTCTGATATGCTTTATTTATCCTATATCGTGTTCATCAATACCTTCAAATTATAATAATTTTCCTAAGTCCAACTTTTGTTACTAATTCATTGTACAAATTTAGAAATAGTTTTTATCTTAGTTGCATTGGCCATCAATTATATATGGGGTTTTCTCCAAATACAGAGACTTCAACTGCAACACTGGAAAAAGCATACAAATAAAGTTATATATATACTAGGTAGGAACCCATGCAGAACCTTACATATATATATATATCACATGAACTCTAGACAGACGTTCAAACCAACTGAGCTTAACCATGTCACTTGATCCAAGTACACTTCTATTACTTTCCTCTCCTTCAATAAAGTCTTCGACCCTGCTGTAGACACATGAGATTCTTTACTAAGGTCTTCAATTGTTATATTTGATTGGACCCCAAGTTAGCTGGTGTAAGAAATATCTGTATTAGCTGGTGTAAGAAATCTCTGTATTAGGTGGTGTAAAAAATCTTTTCATTAGCTGGTGTAAGGTATCTTTGTACTAGCTGGTGTAAGAAATGGTGTAAGAAATCTCTTAATGAGCTGGCATAAGAAATCTCTTAATGAGCTGGTGTAAGAAATCTCTTAATGGGCTGGTGTTAGAAGTCTCTGTATTAGCTGGTGTAAGAAATCTCTGTATTAGCTAGTGTAAGAAATCTTTTATTTAGCTGGTGTAAGAAGTTTGTATTAGCTGGTGTAAGAAATATCTGTAGTAGCTGGTGTAAGAAGACTGTATTAGCTGGTGTAATAAATCTCTGTATTAGCTTGTGTAAGAAATCTTTTAATTAGCTGGTGTAAGAAATATCTGTATTAGCTGGTGTAAGAAGTCTGTATTAGCTGGTGTAAGAAATATCTGTATTAGCTGGTGTAAGCATGGACAGGGGAAATGCAATAGACAGACCAGGATTCAAACCCTGACCCTCTGAACTCTAGACAGACATTTAAATAAGTTGAACTGTACTATCTGATTGATTGATTGATTGATTGATTAGTTGGTTTTACATCCGCTTTACTTGATCACTAGACAGTCATCTAACAGATTTGACACTTTTGATTTTGCTCCATTAGTTGACATAGGACTGAGTCGTAGCTCTGACGAGGCAATATAAAAAAATTGTCTGCTCGTCACAAGCTACATTGTCGCAGCTATCTTAACACCTGCAGTCCTAATCAGTTTCCGCTACACATGTACTTTTTTAATAACAGTGACCAGAAAAATGAATAAAAAGACAGATTTTTTTCCATTTTGATTTGATGTAATAGAGGATAATCAAGCAAAACTGAAGTTGTATTTAAATTGTACTGTGAAAACCAAGTTGAAATAGTGAATTCCATGAAGTGCACTTATCTTTTACTTCATTTTGAATTTGAAAGTTTCCTATTGGAATCCACATTTATGGAATAAGTATACAAACTGAAAGCAATTAAATTGTTTTTATCATTCTTTTAAACTTTTGATCTGAGATATAAAATTAAGTCATCAAAATTCAGCATTTAATTAAATTAAATATTTGCTAGTGTACTGTGTGCATGTGCCGGTATGCTTTTTCAATAAATGTAACGGCTATCTTCCAGGAAGGGTCATTAATTGGTATCCAGTGTCAATAAACATTGAACTACTTTCAGTTAACGTTTAAGTGGGTTTTCATATAGAACTTGTCATAAGGAGAGGGCTTAACAATTATATATAGGCTATATGCCTGTAGCCCAATTCTGTTTGTGCTTGAGATTGGTACAATAAGATATTCCGAAATGGAAAAAAAAAGAACTTGTCATTTGCTCTGAGTGCCAAGAGAAATGTCAGTCAAAACTAAATCAATTTATCAAAATTCAGCATTTTTTTAAAAGTTCAAATTAGTGTACGTATCCTGTACGTATGCTTGTTTAAATAATACTAATAAAAAGAAAAACATTTATAAGTAAGGGTCAGTTGTATATAATGTTCACTGTAACAATAATTATATATATATATATATATATAATGAAGACATCAGCAATAGTGTTATATATAAAGCATTTATAGCTGATATGGATACCTTCTAATTTTGGTTTAACTCATTCACCCCTGAAATTTTATAATGAACTATACCAACCATTGAATTGGAGGGGTTCAAATGTGTCTTCAGGGGTGAATGAGTTAATATGTAATGGCAAAGCCATACAATATTAATGTCGTATATTATGACACCAACCTTGCCATCAGGCCATGGTATTCATAGCTGATCTGACTTTGATGTGGCTATACCAGTATAGTTTTTGACATTGCCAGACTGAGTGATAGGTATATATATAACCATGACAGTTGATCATTGTCTTTTTATGTCCCGCCAAGCTGGTGTAGACATAAAGCGTTAACCTTGGGACACAAATGTACACAGGAAGTTAAGGATCTCCGTACCACTGCCAGAAACAGTAACTACGCATCAGAAACAGATTTCTTCGGCATAAATGTTGCTTTCATAAATCGTTTCTGAAAAGAAAACAATATTTTGTGGGACTTTTATGAAAAAAGTATTAAAAATAAATTTGAAAAAAACCAAAATCAACAACAGCGTTTTGAAAGTAAAAATTCAGCGGGCAGGGCAGGGATTTGAACTCACGACTTCAGAATGTTATGCTGTCGCTCTAACTGACGGAGCTGCCAGCTACTCAACAGAAGTGTCCTTGTCCAAGCGTTCTGTAGTTACCGGTATAGACAAAACCAAACTAAGGGGAGGTTACTGTATATACATTACGAAAAACTACAGTGCAGTGGGACATGGATCTTTAAGTTTTGGTGCATCATGGGTAGGTAATCAGAATATTCTACAATCTGGTTGATGAAGTAACTTGGTATTGTTTCGAGACCTGAAGGTCTATACATGTATGTTTTGAATGGCAGTAGTGTCATTTTCCTTCTTTCGTCATACTATATTCTTTTTAAATAGTATACAGTCATTAGCTTGAGACATTCTAAATATTTCACACATTACTCAATATTTACAAACATTTACTGGTGCCCTTAGTTGAAATGATTTCAATAAGATGAAATAGTGTCTCCAGATTTTAATGTAGAGAAATTTTGCAATAGGGGATTAATTGACCAGACAGAAAAGGTCTGAATGTGAGCCATGTTGGACCACATGCAGCTGTTATGTCGATAGCATATCTAGTATTCCTTCTGATATTTCTTTTGGAAATCAATACACCATTTTCAAACACATTTTTATTAATAACTGTTGTTGGCCCGGATGTTCATTAAAGTAAGTATGGTCTGTGTCTAAAAATGATGACCCCCCCCCCCCCCAAAAAAAAAAGAGTCCCAAAAAAACCAGGACAATTATTTCCTATGATTATGTTTTTACAGGAAAAGTGTAAAGTGTATCTCCATTTTCGAGATTCAACAGATTATTTTGTTATCAGCCAAGAACTCGGCTCTGTCATCAATCATCAAAACAACATTGATACTAACGTTTTTGATACAGGTTGAACTGGTGAATCAGTTAACTTAGATTGAAACTTGTCATTTGGATGTGTAAAAATGATGTTCCTTATAAGGTATTGTGATCTTATTTGACTGATAGATTGTTAAATAATAATATTCCTGTCCAAATACAAGGTATATAAACAGCTTAAATTACAGACACATTACATCTCACATCAACGTGTAAATCATTGTCTAATTACATGGACTACACCATAGTTCTCTTGCAAATCACTTTTGTATTTCCTGCTGGGGATTTTTCCTTCAGAAAATCTCTTTAAAACTAGTTACATTAATGTATACTTAATTACATATAATCTATTGACTTGGTCCTGTAGACTAGCAAGCAGAAATGGTGTCAAAACTCGGAACTTTAATTTTATTCATTTATAGATTTGTATATTTTCATATTTTTTTTTCAGGTTGATATTTGGTTATGAAGGTCAATCTTCAACACTTAAATTGGTTGGAAAAGGAGGTAAGTTTTACAATTTATCAAATACATGTATGTTAAACTTTAAACGAGAATCTTGTAACAGACTATTAAACAGTTGGAGAAAGAAACACTTTTTTTCTTCTAAAAAGACAGCTATGAAAACTCTGTTTGGTGGCTGTTTGCCTTCTTCTTTTTTTTTGGACAGTTACTCTACGTTCAAAAAGTGTACTTGATCAGGACTGAGAGCCCATTCTGGAAAAGTGTAAAAATGTCAAACTAGGGGAAATTCTATATATAGAAGATATTTGTTCATCTTGGGGCCGTCCTTGCTGAAAACATTGTTTGACCACAACTAATTATAACTTAATGTATTTTTTTGCAGATGGTGGTATTGAGGAGATGGTTGATGACCTTAACAGTTCCAAGATCATGTATGCTTACTGTAAGGTGATGGACCCCAATACCAACCTCCCCAAGTATGTCCTGATCAACTGGGTAAGTAGTGTGCTGGCAGTTCTCATGAGAATCCAGTAACTAACAGGGTCATATCTAAATTTATCCTTGATACTCTAGGGGTTAACTCACTCACCCTGTCTGCAGAGTGATTCCAGGGGTTAACTTACTAACCCTGTCTGCAGAGTGACTCCAGGGGTTAATGCACTTACCCTGTCTGCAGAGTGACTCCAGGGGTTAACTCACTTAACCTGTCTGCAGAGTGACTCTAGGGGTTAACTCACTTACCCTGTCTGCAGAGTGACTCTAGGGGTTAACTCACTTACCCTGTCTGCAGAGTGACTCCAGGAGTTACTAGTAATCTGATGCTGCTTTCAGGCAAGCCTTTACAAAGCCTTGCAAGGCCTGCATAAACATTTGCAGGTTCGCCAGGATTTAAAAAGTCGAAAATGTTACATTTAAAAACGGACGTTTAATTTACATATTTTATACATGAATCATAATCAAAATACCTATACTATTCCTTCATTGCAGAAAAACAAAATACATGCATGTCTTTCAAATTTTTCATGAGGAGGAAACCACATGGCATAATGTAAAAATATCTAAAATGTACTTGTATTAAATACAATAACTATTACTTCATAAAATATACAAAGCCAGAGTTTAATCAATAAATAAATATGATGCAGACGAAAAATGAAGATGAGAGTTGTAATTTCTCTTAAAATAGGGACTAGGCAAGCATGAAAATACATTAGAATAAGTTCGATTTTTTAGGAATGCAATCAATACATTTCTAGACAAAAAGACCTATATTGTCAGATGTAGTGAATGATCTCAACTCTACCCTCAAACAACGTATAAATCCTGAACCAGAGAAAGACATTAGATCTGTGATACCTTCAGAAAGCCGTTGATGTCCCGCACGTTTTGTATATTTTATGAAGTAATAGTTATTGTATTTAATACAAGTACATTTTAGATATTTAATACAAGTACATTTTAGATATTTTTACATTATGCCATGTGGTTTCCTCCTCATGAAAAATTTGAAAGACATGCATGTATTTTGTTTTTCTGCAATGAAGGAATAGTATAGGTATTTTGATTATGATTCATGTATAAAATATGTAAATTAAACGTCCGTTTTTAAATGTAACATATTCGACTTTTTAAATCCTGGCGAACCTGCAAATGTTTATGCAGGCCTTGCAAGGCTTTGTAAAGGCTTGCCTGAAAGCAGCATCAGATTACTAGTAACTNCATCTTCATTTTTCGTCTGCATCATATTTATTTATTGATTAAACTCTGGCTTTGTATATTTTATGAAGTAATAGTTATTGTATTTAATACAAGTACATTTTAGATATTTTTACATTATGCCATGTGGTTTCCTCCTCATGAAAAATTTGAAAGACATGCATGTATTTTGTTTTTCTGCAATGAAGGAATAGTATAGGTATTTTGATTATGATTCATGTATAAAATATGTAAATTAAATTACAGAAATATTTCAGTATAGCGTGGTGATTTATTATCTTCAAAATTATTTGCACTATGCTACTAAAACACCATCAATAAAAGCTGAGCTCACACATATATATCATAGGGCATTATTTGATCAAAATGTTATGTCTCTTTTTAGCCAGTACATGTGACCATTCAGGCGCGGAATGATGACGACGTGGACGAGGACATAATCACGGGCAAAGTGTCCAAGGCTTCGGGCTCGAACTACAGCGTACACGATGAAAAACCCAAGAAACCAGTGAAGGATGGCCCAGTGGTAATAGAAATGGCTCTGTATAATCATAATGCTGACTCTAAATTTGCGATAATGAATATAATGAATATAATAAATATTGGTTACCTACTTTGGGCCCACAATAGCAAGATGTATTCCACATATTATTCAGGGGATGTTACGTTTTTATTGTGCATTCAATCGTAATGTTTTATTTTAATATACTCTATACAGGTTATTTTCATGGCAGTAATATTTTCGTGGTTTTCATGCTACGAATAATCTGCGAATTTCTTATACGATTATATCAGACTAGACTGCTACACGCTGAAGGTAAAACAGATAACAGCAGTAAATGTGATGCAGTTTTGTGATTGGTTGATTTAAACGACATTATGTACTCAACAATACTCAATGTTTCAGGGCTCTGTATACAAACGAGTGGTAATCGCCAAGGAAATCAACACCAAAAATCGCGACCAATTCTGGGCAGAGGCAGAGGTGGGTTGAAGTTTAATTCAGATATTAATTGAATAAGTGCCTTACTTGATAAATGCAGAAAGAAGATCTGATAAAGATATTGGGGGTGTTTTGGTAACGCTCCTAGGCTAGCTGAGTTAAGTAATACAGTGCTTGTTGTGGTATTCAGTGACTTTTCATATTGGAAATACAGACCCTTTTGAATAGAAATCAAATGATTCCTAAGGTTTTCCTGTGTTTATAAAGCACAGTATTTATATTGTAGCTAACATTCAAATGATGGGCTATATGAAATACTCCAATACAAATGTATTACAAACCTATGGGGAATTATTATGATGATAGAAGTATATATGTTTAATTCTTTATCTTCCCATAAACGTCTAAAATAATTCCTTAAAATGTTCATGTAATGTGAGACACTTTTATGAACACAGGGATTTATCCAGCTTTTAGAAGTAACTACCCTTTTGGCAAAAAGGGGGAAAATGACTGGTATGTTAAGTGTCTACATGTACAGAATTATGGACTAAAATTGACCAAATGCTTTGTTTTGATGAAAATGATACTGAAAATATTATAATGGGAAAAAAATTACGATATGAGAAGAAAAACCTTTATCTTGGTGCCCATGGATATGTGTTCCATTGGCTTTCACACTCTAAGTATACAATAATTGCATGAAAAATGTCTGGTGTGTATTAAAATATTTCCAAAGGGGAAAATTGAATAGAAAAAGGGGATTTTTTTTCAAAAGATATCAAAGGGAAAAATGGAGAATGAATGTAGTAAAAAAGGCCTAGCTAAATCCCTGGAACATACATATATCACTCACTTGTAAAGACAAGAATACAAGATAGGTGTTTTCTCCATGAAAACAGTAAAAGGTCCAAAGAACTGTTCTTTAGTCTAGTTTTCTACTTCTCAGAAATTTTCATTGAAAATTGACCATCTCCTGAAGAGTTCATTAGATCTAGACCATAGGATATTGTTTGCATCAAACGGTAGTTCAAGTCTAGCTGTGTCTTCAATGGTCAACTTGAGCTTTAAATTAATTAGATATCGAAATATTATATATGATGGAATGGACCTTGGTGAAAATTTTTGAGAAACTTGGACCCCAAAATATTGCTTGGGAGTTTTCCAAATATGATGGCAATGATTTACTGCATACAGAAAGAGGAACAAAAACGAGTTGCTGAGGAACGGAAAAAAGTTCTCAGTGAAAGACATCGTGATGTGGTGGAAAGGAAGGAAAGGGAGGTAATACAGTGTGAGACCACTCTGGCATGTTGGTTCTCTTATAGTTTGGCTGTGGTTCTTATTGGATTGGCTTTCAGTGTGATTAAGTTTTACCTAATGTTTTATAAATTTACTAATCTTCTTCTTGTCTTGTGTCAGTTCTTCACATTCTTTCGGTTAATTTTACTGATATTAATTTCAAATTTGTGATGACCTAATAAACCCCCTTGCTTTGATATCCTTACCGTTTCGTCCTTCGATGTGTGGATTTAAAAAAAAAAATCAATGCCTGAATAATAAGTAAATATCACCAAAACTTTTATATCAATAATAAATGTTTGTATGAAACAACTTTTAATGTTTCTAAAAGTCCTTCTGTTGTAAATGTGAGAACAATTAAATAGGCCTGTAATGAGCCTGTAAATAGGTCTGTAAAGAGCCTGTAAATAGGTCTGTAATGAACCGAGAACCGAAGAATTGACACATATGTAGTATCTGATGTAGATGTCTGATATACAGTGCTTCTTTATCTACATATACAGTGGACCAGTATACTCACTATTTTTGAATGTATATGTATCACAGTGTGTTTTATAATCGATTTTCTCAGTTTGCTAAAACGTATTTAGAGTACTACAACTAACCAGATTAGTTTTAGAAATGCAATGTATTATGAAAGTAAGTGTATGCTGCCCGAGGCTAGAATACATGCCTTAAAGGGAGGTAATTATTGTTGGCCTTTAGCAACAATTCAGCGATTTACCACACTTTTTTGTCCAGTTCCGTTGGTTATCATTAGCTCACCTGGCCCGAAGGGCCATGTGAGCTTATCCCATGGTGCAGCGTCCGGCGTCCGGCGTCCGGCGTCCAGCGTCCGGCGTCCGTCAACTTTTTCCTTTAAAATGCTACTTGTCCTGAATGGCTCAGAGGATTTTGACCAAATTTGGTCAGGAGCATCATTGGCCAAAGGGTTCTCAATTTTGTATAAACGGAGGGTATTACCCCCCTGGGGGCAGAGGGGCGGGGCCAAATAGGGGGAAAATAGGTAAATCTTTAAAAATCTTCTTCTTCTCAACCAATAGAAGAATTTTGACCAAATTTGTCCCAGAGCATCTTTGGACAAAGGAGACTCAAGTTTGTTTAAACGGAGGGTGTGGCCTCTTTAGGGGCAGAGGGGCGGGGCCAAATAGGGGAAGTAGAGGAGTTTTTCTCTCCTACTATACTAGTGAAGGGATTTAAACCAAATGCAGTCTGAAGCTTGGTCAGGAGCATCATTGGCCAAAGGGTTCTCAGTTTTGTATAAACGGACGGTATAGCCCCCCCTCGGGGCAGAGGGGCGGGGCTAAATAAGGGGAAAAAAGGTAAATCTTTAAAAATGTTCTTCTTCTCAACCAATTGAAGGATTTTGACCAAATTTGTCCTAGAGCATCTTTGGACAAAGAAGACTCAAGTTTGTATAAACGGAGGGTGTGGCCCCTCTGGGGGCGGAGGGGCGGGGCCCAATAGGGGAAATAGAGGATTTTTTTTCTCCTGCTATACAAGTGAAGGGATTTTAACCAAATGCAGTCTGAAGCATGATTAGGGACAAAAGAATCAATTTTGTATAAACTGAGGTGTGTGGGCCTCCTTCTAAGGGCAGATGGGTGGGGCCCATTAGGGGAAATAGAGGAAAACATCAAATATCCTTCTCCTTTTGTACCGATGAAGGGATTTTGACCAAATTTGGTCTGGAGCATCATTGGCCAAAGGGTTCTCAGTTTTGTATGAACGGAGGGTATGGTCCCCCTGGGGGCAGAGGGACGGGGCCAAATAGGGGAAAATAGGTAAATCTTTAAAAATCTTCTCCTCAACCAATTGAAGGATTTTGACCAAATTTGTCCTAGAGCATCTTTGGACAAAGGAGACTCAAGTTTGTATAAACGGAGGGTGTGGGCCTTCTGGCGGCATAGGAGCGGGGCCCAATAGGGGAAATAGAGGATTTTTTTTCTCCTACTATACAAGTGAAGGGATTTAAACCAAATGCAGTCTGAAGCATGCTTAGGGAGAAAAGAATCAATTTTGTTTAAACTGAGGTGTGTGGATTCCCCTTCTTTGGGGCAGATTAGTGGGGCCCATTAGGGGAAATAGAGGAAAACATTAAAGATCCTTCTCCTTCTGTACCGTTGAAGGGATTTTAACCTAACCAAACTTGTTTTAGAGAATCTTTGGGCAAAGGGAATTGAATATTTATAAATGGAAGATGCAACTTTGTTACTTGTACTCCTTTGATAAACCTGAATGGTACTCAGCAGGTTTTAAATTGAAAAATAAAATACCAGGTGAGCTATTAAGGCCCCTGGGCCTCTTGTTTTAGAACTTGTTGAATCTATGTTTGCAGACAGTTTAATAAGTAAGGAATGGACGGGGTGTAATTCAGGACATCTCAGATGCAAAACAATTTCACAAATAATTTTGTCCTCGTCACCTAGTGGGCACTAAATGTTTGTCTGTTCCTCGGTCTATCTGTCCATCAATAACCACGAATAATTGTGAACCGCTTTGAGACGACCAACAAACTAGGTGGTGATAAAGCAGTCTATCAGAACCTCGAATTATTATAATTATTATTATTTAACTCACTTTCTCTAATACTAGAAGCCTAACAATAATTATTCTTCATATGTAGATACACATTGAGGAGAACTTACACCAATGTATCAGATCTAGGTCACTGTGACCTATATTTTCAGCTTACCGGTACAGACTTTGCTACACTTTTTTTTATTTAACTCCATTCCAATCAAAGCAGGAGTGGGGTTATATGTTATTGTTTTACAGATGATTTTCTAGATTTCATATTTAATTTTTCAAGATATGAATGAATATTAGTATTTAAAACTGCTCTTTAGTTGTTTATAAGACACTAGCTAGTAGTTTCCAATTTTCCAGTCCACATGGAAATCCACTAAAACAATATTATCCATCATGATAAATACTATCAAAATCTTGACTAGTCAATCTGGCTGGTAGTTTTTAGAACCACTAGTCCAGCTGAAGATTTCACTAGTCTTGTTGTCTAATATGACCCCTGAATATTTCGGCTTCCTGTCTTGTCTGATCCCTGTGTATTTTGACATCCTATGTTATCTGACCACTGAGTATTCAGACATCCTCTGTACTCTGATCCCTGAGTATTTTGACATCCTATGTTATCTGATCCCTGAGTATTTTGACATCCTATGTTATCTGATCACTGAGTATTCAGACATCCTATGTAATCTGATACCTGAGTATTTTGACAAAATCAATCAGAACATACGGCAAAATGCAGAACATTCCAAATTGATGAATAATAGTCAAGATTCATCTCTCGATACTGTTTATGCTTAAAAAAAAATGCTGAGATAAATTAATCCAAACAATTGTACACATTATCAAAGTTCTGCTGTAGTTTTCAAGTGTCCAGAGTTCTAGTGTGTTTAAGTTTGTTTCAGTAAATTTTACACCTAGTTGGTAAATACATTTTGTAGCTTTTAAACAAATGGACTCAAAATCTGGACACTGTCTGTTAATATTTTGATGGACAATTCAATTGGAAGTTAGATACATAAAATGTTCAAATAGAACTATTTATAAGTCAAACATCTCACTATTCCCTCTCTGTTGTAGCAAGCCTGTTCTGTTGTGGACTAACTCTTTTGTTTATTTGTAGAACAGATTTTCCTGTTTCCACAATTTGCATGCGTTGACAGTTTTCTTTACTCTTTCTTAATCTTTACTCAATTTCAGGATGCATAGTACGTGTGACATAGCGTGTATGTTTTGTGACGCCATTGTATCCAGCTTCCATATTGTAGTAAAATTTTAAAACTGATATTTCCATAAAATTGGAAACAAAATGCTAGATTAAATGTGCTCAGCCCTCAGATTAAATACTCAATACTTCTCATGTTGTAGATATATAGTTCTCTGTTTCAGTTGGCATTTTTTGTAGATATAACAGTGTCGTTCTGTTTTATGCATATCTTCCATTAGTCATACTTAAATAAACAAAACAATGTATGTAATTCGTTTTTTCAAATATAAACCATAACTATATATCAGTTACCATTGGTTGGAAAATACCATGCAAAAAAAAATCATAAAATGATCAAGTTGAAGTAGTTCTGATAATATTTCCTGATGACAAGCTTAAAATAAACTAATGTAAAAATCATGCTGAATATATATACTGATGAAAGTAAACCTTACTGAAAATATACTGATAGAAATGTTTATGCTGAAAATAGAAATGTTTATGCTGAAAACATACTGATAGAAATGTTTATGCTGAAAACATACTAATGAAGTTAATGTTGAATTATACTGATGAAAGTTTACTGTGCTGAAAATGTAATGAAACTTAACAATATCTTAATGGTATTTTTAATTGTTTGCTGAAAACATGATGAAAATATGCTGAAAATTGTGTTTTTGACAGAAACAAGAAGCAGAGAAGCGAGATGTCCAAGTACGTGAACGAATGAAGTCCATCACAGATCAACGTAAGCTTGAACGACGTCTGAGCCAGCAAGACACGGCAACAGAAAAAGAACAATGGGTAGGCTATATATCTCCTAAATAATTATCTAACCTTGTTTATTATTGAAAATTCTTAACTCTTACTCAGAAACTTTGAAGAGCTTTACATGATTGATGCTGTCCTATAATTCGCTGTAAGATATAAACAATTTATTTTCATGACAGTTATTATAATAGTTATATTGTTATTCCAGTCTTTTGATAATATTTAGGATTCATAGATAAATTGATAAAAATAACATGGAGGAGCTATCACAACATCACCTGAAGTACTAATTTAACGTCACTTTATGAAGTTAAACATAGTATAGATGCCAACCACTTTTGCCTGGGTAGGGCTTGATTGGGGCAATTAAGGTAATAGGATTGTGTCGCCATTTCTCAGTAGAATTTCTTCTAATTTTGTAGTTATATTGCTTTGAAGTAAAGAAAATTTTCTGCCACAAAAAAAATATAGGTTGTCTGAATTTTAAGGATTTTAAATAGAAATTTATGTAAAAAGGAGTGAATTTTGTAAAAAAATAAAAAAATGAAACACAATGTTTTGCAATATGATGTCAATAAACATGATACTGACATAGATTAGTATTGCATTGATATATATCAATTTCATAAATACTGAAATTGTGTAAAATGAATTATCTATAAACGATTAAAAATTGACATTTTATAATAAAACCATATACACCTAGTAATTGAATGAAAGAGTTATCGTTCTTGAAAAACTTCACAGTAGTGAAATAGGTAGCCGGTTTCCTGAAGTACAGAAAAATGGACACATGTGACTCATTGATTAAAAAACAACTGAATTAATGCCTAGATTGCTTTGAAATATTTTATATTGAAAGAACATACTGTTCTGTCAATAATAAACATACAATATTCATCAGTTTAATATTAAACATTAGAATATGCGGAGATTGTGATACTGTCTCCCCATATTGGGTTTTCAACTAGGCATGTACTTCCTATTTCCGTTTAGCAATACACTCCTATGACCTTTTAACTGCAAAAAATTACACAAGTCGCAAAGTTTTTCGTTTTAGCATACTGTGCTTGCACTTCCTGCAGAAAAAAACCCAGCGCTCTATATAACCTTCATCCCTCTGTTGTGAGGAGGTTGAAGATTCTGTTTGATTATCAGTTAGCTGGACGTCCGCTTTGAGCATCTCCTGGGCCTCCAGATCACTGATGATTGGCCTGCAGTCTCACCCCAATGGACCTTGACAGGACTGTTCTAAATATAGCGCTTTCTATTCATGATCTTCAAGACGTATTTGGGTCTGGTTTACTTCAAAGGTGGTTCCATGATAAGCCTGGTGGTGTCTACAGTGATGTCCCACTAATTTAGCCCAGGGCCCGTATTCATGAAACCGTTCTCATGCTCAAGCACGATTTCTCAGAAATCTCTCAACAGAGAAATTCTGTGCTCAAGACGGCTTTCTTATAACCTGCTTCAATCATGTAAGATGGTCAAAAAGTCAAGTGTAAACACTGAAAACAGTATTGGGCTCAAAGTCATTTAAAATTATTTACATATCATTGACAATTTTTTTTTTTTATTTATTTTTTTATCACTGACACAAGAAATTGGGCTTGATCACATAATTTGGGTTTGAGCATGGGAACAGTTTCATGAATACAGGCTGAGGGGTAGAGTTGTTTAAAGTCTTATGTAATATTTCTTATGGGCACCAGTCACCTTGCCAATTTTGTAGGTCAGGTTTGTTTTGGTGAAAGTATGTAGTCAGTTGGAAGATCTCTGCGAGCTGCTTTGTCTTGAAAAAGTTCACACTCGGAATTGGCCAATCTGTCAGACCACAGCCTAATAACTCGGCCAATACAGTGTTAGTGTTTATGATTGGTGTCTTCTTTTCTCAGGAAAAAGAACAGGATTTGGCATATAAGGAGGAAACAGCGAGAGGAAAACGAAGCGAGGTGGTGAGAAAAGAGCGAGCCGCTGTAAGTTCTTTAAAAAAATCTGTTGATGTTTGTTAACAATATAATAATAGTTATAATGATTTCATCCTTTCACATCACTATTTATATTAACTCATTCAACCCTGAAGTTTCATAATGAACTATTCCAACCTTTATATTGGAAGGGTTCAAATGTGTCTTCAGGGGTGAATGAATAACTGAGAATGAAATTTTTACGATCTAGTGTAATTTCATTTTGGCTCTTTCCCCCTATGCTGCAATTGTTTAGGTTAAAATCAAAAATGTATATATTGTATAACCTAAAAAAAAAACAGACGACACAAAAAGGGATGACGTTGTATACTGCAATGTTTGACGCAGTATTTGTAATTTTAACTTCTGATCTGTTGAAGTTGCTTGGCAATGAAATTACTGTGCAATGTTGAGTTTTGTGCATAATTATCATGTTTTCGTCAGAAATGAAGAAATATTCATTACCTATAAACTAATAAACTGTTGTCTTTTTACATAAAATTTTCAGGCATAACCAAGATTTGTTTGGGGGTTATACAGTATATGCCGAAGAAATGTAGCACTTTTTGGGGGGTTTATTTGCAGATTTATGCAAAGTGCACACATTTTTTAAGTAATCCCAAAAATAATCATGGTTATTACTTAGATATATGAAGGAAATGTGTATTGTTTCGTTCCCTGCTGGAGGCCATAGCTGAACGGAAGTGGGCTTCATCTGTCTGTCTGTGCATCTGGGTCCATTTCTTTCACATCTTTTGATAAATTGTTTTCCGATATGCATTACATTGTTATTACATCAGACAGAAACACAGACAGTATAACGTGTCATTCTCATCCATGTCATCATTTGTAGGAGGCGACTAAATTAACCTCCAATTCAGCGGCCAACGCTCGGGCGTTGTTCCGTAGGAAAGAATCGGAGAGTATGGACGAACCACCATCTCCCATCAGACGAGGACCCCCTCCTCCCCCAAAGTAAGTTCCCTCCTCACCGCTGTAGTCGTTTCAATATTTCTTTCCCATACGATTATCAACTGACACCAGGCAATGTGCCAAACTGACGTCTGCTGCCCCACTCCTAACTAAAAAAAATAGTTTGCGTGGCAATCCCTTTTACTGTAGCATCGCTTACATTCCTAGAGGGGTCAGCAACTGTTGTTTTTGTGCTGGTTGGTCAATAGTGTTCTGGGTTATATACTTTCTGTTTAGCTCCATTCCCGTAATACTAAAAGTCCAACATCCATCAAACCTCATGTACTACACCAGTGTATTAAATGTAGGTCTCTGTCCTTTGAGAAAGCTTTCATTTCTCTGACTTTAGTAAAACTTTGCACCTCGCTCCTTTTCCATCAAAGAGGGAGAGGGCATATATATGTCTTACAGCTACTTCTAGATCTTGAAACTGAGATTGTATCATGTTTCATTAAGTGTAACGACACTGAAGTGACTTTCAGTAGACTTGAGCATGTCAATACATATATCCTGCTATTTACTGACTCTGTTATTTCAGGAAACTGCGACAGCCAGCTTTCCTCAGTCAAGAACAACAGTACAATGGACAACCAAAACAACCCATCAGCTTACCAACAGAAAACACGGGCGACGACGTTTTCTCACAAGACCGCAGTCCGCCAAAGCAGCCAGTCAGGGAACCTTCACCTCCCCCACGGGAACCCTCCCCTCCCCCACGGGAACCATCCCCTCCCCCACGGGAACCCTCCCCTCCCCCAAGAGAACCCTCTCCTCCCCCTAGAGAACCATCTCCACCCCCAAGGGAGCCTTCGCCAGAGCCTCAATTGCCGGTGATGCGGGAACCATCCCCAACACCCCAGCAGCCCGTCATGAGAGAGCCATCACCACCTCCCAAAGTCACACAGCTCCCTAGGGGCCGGAACCTACTGGCTGATGGACTGCCCAAACGCCAGGAATCTGATGAGGAGGAGGAAAAGGACGATGATTGGGATGACAACGGTAAGGACATATTTTTTGTGACATTATACCCTCGTTATAAAAGTAGGCAATGTTTTATGTGTTTTTGTCACAAACATATAACTGTATGATTCTATATAGATAGATGGTATGGTTTGTTTTTCTACACTCATAAGTCTACCTGGTAGCTTGAACCTGTCTATATAGACCCCTTTTGTATAGCTTGAACCTGTCTATATAGACCCCCTTTGTATAGCTTACACCTGTCTGTAAGGATCACCTATTACTGACTGAGGTGTATATATAATTAAAGACAATGTGGCCGAACATACACCTGTATATAACAACCAGCTTGATTGATCTATGTGTACCATACATCTGTCTATGATGACAGTATTTGTAAAGCATGGGTTTGCCTATTAGAAACATCAGGGGATCTTAGTATTCCAGCCACCCTTGTACCTGTCGGCAGCAGTGATGGGCTGAGGATAGACTGTAATCGAAAAACTATCAGTTTGCCCTTTCCGATTACAATATTGAATAACATAATGATAAATGTTGGTGTGATTTTACAACTTGACAGAAGACAGCACACCTGATGTGGTTCCCTCCGTGCACGTGGACCAGCCTCAGTATGATGAGGGTGAGCTGGAGGCTTACCAACAGCAGGCAGAGGAACAGGAACAAGCTAGGGTAGCACAGAGTCAGGGACAGTGTGCGCGGGCCCTCTACGATTACCAAGCTTGTAAGTTTAACTTTAACCTCATTTACAGTTTCTAAATTTACAGCAAATTTGTTTCACAATCTGTACACGACATTGGAAAGAAGGTGTTTATCAGACGTGATAAAATGATATTCTAAGGATGCTTTAGAACTTGTATTTTGTTATTTAACTTTGTGAAATTTCTTCCGTAGCCGTAGACAATTTATTGTATACTCAAACAGGCCTCTTTTAACGAAGTTTGTATAATGTGAAAGTAATTATATGTAGTTGCAGAAATGAAGCATTGGTCTGAGAGAGGTCTAATTGAGGGCAATTTAGATTCTTGGTTTTTAAGCCAGTTTTCATTGTAGAGCGAAATACTATCTTGATGTCGTCCTGTCTTGTTGCGTGATCTATCATCCCTAAATCATATTAAATAATGGTAATCAAATTTTTCTCTTCTTTTTTTTTCATGGTACTTTTATATTCCAATTGAATATTATTATTCATTTCCATTTAAATATATCATTTTAGCTGATGAGACTGAAATAACCTTTGACCCTGATGACATCATCTTGAACATCGACCAGATTGACCCAGGATGGTGGATGGGCACAGATCCCTCAGGAAAACACGGAATGTTTCCCGCGAACTATGTCGAGCTCATCTAGGCTTACAAACATTAATTACCATAATGGTTAAACTAGCAGTACTTAAACAACGTTAACAATTAATATGTTCTGTCGAAGTTCACAGGAATTAGTGTTCAAAAATTTGGGAATTAAAATTCTCTTTTACAGTAAATTAAAATCCTTCACCATTTTATGTTATTCAAGTGGAATTGACACTGTTTGCAAATTCAGATTTTTAAATTGCCGAATTATGTATCCAGAATATGTGTGTGGTTTACTGGAAAGCACCTTAAGTAATTGCCAGCGTATTGTGACTAACAGTCAGCATACATTGAATGTGTAGCCAATCAGATGCATCCTTATAAAAATTACTTGGAAATTCATCCAATCAGAAATGTTGTTATTTAAATGAATTGGAAATTTATCCAGTATGAATTGTTGTTCCATGTATAATCAATTTAGGATGTACCAATATTTAACTTGAAGTTACAAGCCATGTAAGGTTGGCATGGTATAAGATGTAAAGACTACTCTAACATTGGCTGTCTCTCTGCTGAATGGTTTAATTTGTTGTCACTTAACATCAACATTTGAAGAATAACATGCTTTTGTCAGGGTTATTGTTATGCTATGTTTTTATTAGTTTATTTTAGTTGTTTAACTCTTGTTTATATCCAGGTGCCAGCATTTTCCATATTTATAGAAAATGGAGAACATAATACTAGCATTTTTCGTATTATATTGTAAAAACTGAGGTGGTAACACTGGCTGTTTAATATCGATTTTCTAATCGGTGTAGCCCTGTTGCTCTGAACATCGTCTGTTACGGAATGTTTAAGCTTACCTAGGGTTATTATTGGAAGGGTTGATTAATGTTGATACATGTACTATCCTACAGAAACACTTTACTACAGTCAGCTATGCTTGAGAGACCAGCCCTATTAAGTAATAGATTAAAAAAAAAATCAAATATGTCTGATAAGCTTTTGTATTTTTTATTGACATAGCAATATTCAATAAGAATACTTGTTTTTAGGATCTTGTCTTGGTCTTTTGAAAATCATCTTCCGAAGAAATGACATATGATGGTAGAAACCTACTACAGTAATGAAAAACTTTGAAAGGGAGAGTGATTGACTTATGAATATTTAGATGGTTGTATAATAACTGAGAAAGTTCTTCTGTAATTTAAAAGATTCTGTTTTGATGGTCTTTTTCAATGCCATGCATGATGCTTATTTTTGTTTATGAAACTTTGTTTTTTCAGACGGTTTTAAGTTTTGTTATCATGTTGAAAGCTGCCAGGTTGCAGTTTTGTCATAATACTTGTCCTGTATACCACACCTATACACCAGTCCAATCCACACCTGTATACCACACCTCTACACCAATCCAATCCACACCTGTATACCACACCTGTACACCAATCCAATCCACACCTGTATACCACACCTCTACACCAATCCAATCCACACCTGTATACCACACCTCTACACCAATCCAATCCACACCTGTATACCACACCTCTACACCAATCCAATCCACACCTGTATACCACACCTCTACACCAATCCAATCCACACCTGTATACCACACCTCTACACCAATCCAATCCACACCTGTATACCACACCTCTACACCAATCCAATCCACACCTGTATACCACACCTCTACACCAATCCAATCCACACCTGTATACCACACCTCTACACCAATCCAATCCACACCTGTATACCACACCTCTACACCAATCCAATCCACACCTGTATACCACACCTCTACACCAATCCAATCCACACCTGTACACCAATCCAATCCACACCTGTATACCACACCTGTACACCAATCCAATCCAATCCACACCTGTATACCTCACCTGTACACCAATCCAATCCACACCTGTATACCACACCTGTACACCAATCCAATCCACACCTCTACACCAATCCAATCCACACCTGTACACCAATCCAATCAACACCTGTATACCACACCTGTACACCAATCCAATCCACACCTTTATACCACACCTGTATACCAATCCAATCCACACCTCTACACCAATCCAATCCACACCTCTACACCAATCTAATCCACACCTGTATACCACACCTGTACATCAATCCAATCCAATCCACACCTGTATACCACACCTCTACACCAATCCAATCCAAACCTGTATACCACACCTGTACATCAATCCAATCTAATCCACACCTGTATACCACACCTGTACATCAATCCAATCCACACCTGTACTTAGATTACTGTTAGTGTCATACTCCTTAATGTAATACTTTGGGATATGCTGTTGTTTATTTGTGCACTGGTTTTATACACTCATTCACATTATTATATATATTTAAGTCCCTTTCCCATGAAATTTGTAAAAAAAAAAAAAAATACAAAATCATTTATCAAATTACAACAAGTATTTTAACTGTGTGCTGTAGCAGAAACTTAAAAGTATTATTTGTGGCTTTGTATTGTTATAGATTTTAAAGGCATATCTTTAAATAGCTGTCCATGACAAACTAACAAGAGAGTCAGAATGTATGTGGTTCACAGGTCAAAGGTCAAATTGTAACTGGTTTACAGGTCAAAGGTTATATTGTAGCTGGTTTACAGGTCAAAGGTCATATTGTAGCCGGTTTACAGGTCAAATGTCAAATTGTGTCGGATTTCACTGGTACTATTTTGATTGGTTTAAAATTGATTTTTACCTGGTTTATTATTGAACTTGTTTATGGTTTATGGGTGAATTTCTTACTGGTGTACCTGGTGATTTTGTACCTGGCTTTACCTGTAAATGTTACATATCGTTTTCACTTGCAAGCGGAATTGTTCTCCGTTGTATGCACTTCAGACGTTAAAATGTTGGGTCGTTAATGAAGATGGGGCTAGGGTGTTCTAGGTTGATATTTATTTACCGAAGTCAGTCGTCAAATATCGCTTTATATTTACAGAGGATCCTTGCCATGGTGTGAAGACGTTTTTTTTGTATAAATCACATCTTCACATGCTCATATAATTTATTTTTATTGTCATTTATAAGATAATACAATTGATACATTTCAATGTCAACAAATATCAATAGATATTCAACAAACTATCTATAAAGATTGTTACCATCTCCGCTGAGAACTTTTACTAGAGTGTATACATTTGTACGGTAGAACCAGGTTTTAAGGAATTCAATATATTACGAAACAGACGCGGGATAAATGTGTGTGAAATGTTGAAAAATGTCCACACCTATAGTTTTAAAACGGTAAAACCCAAGGCTTTCACAATCTCTAGCAAACATGTATGAAAGAGAATTTCTCATTTCTTTTCAACAAATGATATAAAAAATACCGATTCTCATGATGACAGCGAGGTAATAACATTATGTCATGTGGTTGTATAGTACGACGTCATGATATTTAACTTAATTACCACTCCGCTTGTGAAATGTCATGTAAGATAAAAAAAATACTATCAAGATATTTCTTACACCAGCTAATTAAGAGATTTCTTATACCAGCTCATTGAGATTTTTTACACCGGCTCATTAAGAGATTTCTTACACTAGCTAATTAAGAGATTCCTTACACCAGCTAATAAAGAGATTTCTTACACCAGCTAATACAGAGATTTCTTACACCAGCTAATACAAAGATTTTTTACACCAGCTAATTAAGAGATTTCTTACACCAGCTCATCAAGAGATTTCTTACACCAGCTCATTAAGAGATTTCTTACACCAGCTATTTAAGAGATTTCTTACACCAGCTAATAAAGAGATTTCTTACACCAGCTAATGACTGCTTTCTTACAGGAAATAGCTCTTATCTGAAACACAAGGGTACCAGAAAACATTGGTAGCTCTTATATCAATTAGCATACATATTATACATTAATACAAGCTGTATGGATGACAGTGAAAAAGGACGATTTGTTAAACAAGTTTACAAAATATCAGAACTATGTCCTCAAAACCATGTCAGACCAAGTTACCATTAAATGTAACAATACAATATATTTCTTGTCCATCAATCACTTCAAAACCTAGACCTATTGTATAAAGTAACAAATTTTAGTCGGTTAAAATGTTGAAGTTTCCTGTGTCGAAATCACTGAAGTATGAGCCATATAAACTGTCGCGGTCATGGTTGGCAGCACCTGTGTCTATATATATCTATATTTATATAATTATTATTTGATATTGTTTTTTATTTGTGTTTGTGTCATGGTTGTTAGCTTATAAAGGCTTCATTTAGACTCTAGTTTATATAAATTAATTAATTCATGGTTTTTTTTGCGTTATTGACCACATAAACTATAAATAGTACAGATGTCCGGATGTATAACTGGCGTTCATGTATACATGTAAGTTTCAAGTGAAAAGAATGATTGAATGAAGACAAAGTGAAAAAACATTGAAAGAATAGGATGAAAAACTGTTTCCTTTTTTTAGTTTTAAATAGAATAACTTTTATAAAATAGCAGATAGCTTCTTCAGTTAACAAAATGAAATTAGTCAATTGAAGATTGCCATATATATATACCACATTCCATTAAACACTTGTGATTTCTCATGTTCATTTCAATAGTAAAACCTTTTATTCAAACTTGAAAATTTTTTGGGAAATTTCAGTGAAAACTTGATGATTGTACAGATGGTTTCAATATCTTGTTTGTATCAAAGAATTTTTTGTCAAATTATTCCGAGATATTGTCAGGAAAAAACATATATGTGAAGTCTTGTGATCATGTAGACATGAGAAACACACAGGAAGTTATTTTTGAGGTGATCACGATACTTCTGTATCCGAGGACCCACTTAGCTCACACTATATTGGAGCACAGTCTCAAAAAAACCACCAGACTCAGTGCAGACATACAGAATTTTATTTTTATAAGGAAAAAACACCTTATGTGAATATTTAGGTTGCCGAAACTAGGAAAACTTCGCTAGCATAAAGAACTACAATGGTTCGTAGTCAAGTTAGCAGGTGCAGTTTGTAGACTTTTGTTGACTTTTTGTATAGTAATTATTCTTGTATACTTGTATCTATGCAAGCTTAAGTTAGTTTTGTGCCTGCTAGATATTTTTATTGCAATCTATACCGGTCAGACCATGAAAATAGTATCATAATTGTTGTAGATTGCAAGTGCTAGGTATATATGATTATTTTTATATAGAACTCTCACCCAGTGTTAAGAGTATGGCTCAATTGTAAAGTGCTAGTTTTCCTGTTGTAGGGTGAGGACTTTGATATGCCGACGCTGTCTCTGTTCAGTTCTTGACCAATTTTACGCTAGTCTGTGCAATTGTTGACTTCTTCAGTCGGATAATAAAATCACTAACGGTTCATTGTTAACTCATTCACCCCTGATGACACATTTGAACTCTTCCAATTCAAAGGTTGGAATAGTCCATCATGCAATTTCAGGGGTGAATGAGTTAATAACATGCTTGGATCCCCTTGCTTAACTTTATGTACATGTATATGGAATTGAAAATTGAATGATTATTTTGCCAATTTTACACTATATATAATCGAACAAGACGATTTCCTCAGCTACATTTTGTTCTTAGAGGTTCTAAGTTCACAGGTACATTATTGCTAATATGATATTCTGATATATAATAAAGAATAGATTCCTTCAAAGGATTCTCATAATAAATACATCTTTGTGACTTTTTCAGTAATCATCTGAACAAGATGACCAACGTGTAGTATTTGACCACAGACTATACATTGTGATGTGACCAACGCAGAATGATCCAGATAGCGTGATATCAGCTGTCCGTCATACGCTACTGTACTTTGGAGAATTTGGATGTGGCTATATTTTGATTTGCACTCTGAATGAATGAGACAAAATTTCATGATCTCAAAGAGATATCGTCGCAACATCCGATTTTCGGTCGATATTTATCATATATGCATCTGTTATTGACTTCCATGAGTAATATCTTTGTAAAGCAAACCATGGAACCTTTTTTTGTGCAGGATTAACACATACCATACATAGCACATCAATAACGGTATGTTTTCATCTGAAGGTGTGATAACTTTTCAATGTTTTCATATCCGTTGTGTTGTATTTAAGGTCTACAGGTAAGTCACATCACTATTGATCGATAACATTGGTAAGTATCGGGGTAGTTAAGTAACATTAACCTTATATGTGTTCTCCTGTGCAGCCAGGTGAGATAACATACAAGAGGCTGTATATTCATGGCATCTGAAAACAACTTGTGCATGTACAATACCAGGCTATTTGCGTCCGTGGTCCGTCCTTAAACAGTTCTTATTATCGCTATTTCTCGGGAAGCACGGGAGGGATCTTTCTCAAATTTTATATGTAGGTTCCCCTTAGTCCGTTGTTGTACAGGACACCTTTTGAGACTGATCGGATAAACAACATGGCCGACAGGTAGCCATCTTGGATTTTGATAGTTAAGGTTTGTTAGTGCTATTTCCCAGGAAGTACTGGAGGGTTCTTTCTCAAATTCTATATGCAGGTTCCCCACTATCCTTTATTGTTCATGTTTACTTTTGAAACTGATCAGTTAAACAAAATGGCTTACCGACAGCCATCTTTGATTTTTGACATTGAAGGTTTGTTAGTACTATTTCTCAGGTTCCCTTTGACCCCTCGTTGTGCGTGTTATATTTTGAGACTGATCATAAAAACAAAATAGCTAAAGGAAGAACTAAACAGATCTTTCTCATATCGCAATGATCGATTCTATTTCTTTCACATTAAGTACGTTACTAGTAAATATGTGAAATGACAAACTCACATTGAAGGTTGGCTTTCATACACATCACTATTAAGTTTAGATCAAAAGTTACCTCAAGGTGCATTTACTGTTAACATGACTCGATCAAACAGATAAGAGGAAAGAAGAGAAAAGATCGGACTGACACAGAACTAATGAAGATGGTACAATGGTGAATGCCAATATCCCTCTGGGATATCTTGTATATAAACTGAGGCTGTTGCCCCCTTTTTGACCAGAAGAGTGGGGACCCAATATGGGAAATAGAAGAGAAAAAATCCTTATCCATTTGTACCAATGAAGGAATTTAACCAAACTTGTTTTGTATTAGTTTTTGTATTATATCATTTTGTATAATTGGATTATATGTCAAGACAACCTGGAGGCAAAAACAACTAAATTCTGTATAAATGGAGGATGTGTACCCCCACCCACCCCCCTCCTTTTCAATGTCATTATATATAGACCCAGGGTCCTGATAGTCAGCCAATAGGTATCTGGTATACTACTGAACTATTAAGTTTTCTCTTATATATGACCTTAGCCTACTTTCAAGGTCATAAGGGACATACATTTGTATATGTCTATATCGAAACAGCTTCTCCTGATTAGTAAAGTGACATTGGGTCACGATATTTGTCTGACAGATTGCCTGATTTACCAGTGAGTGAGATCAGGTTTGTTCAAAAGAATAACTTTAAATTTGATCTACTTCTCAGTCAGTTTTCCCAATTATTATTTTGTGAAGAAAGATTGTGAAGTGTTTTTCTGTAGATTCCTGACAGATCTAAATAATATTTGGCCTGTATCTATCAAATGTGTAAATGAAAACTTTGATTACCAGATCCAGGTATAGAGTGATATTATATACAATCCACTTTATAGGTCACAGATTTGTTTGCAAACAGCACTGAAAAGTAGTTGATTGGTAGTTTAGTTGTATAGGACCTTTTGATCTCAAAATTATAATCCTCTGAATGTCACACAATCTGTAGTCTAGACATTTTACTTATAATCCTGTGAATGTCACACAAACTGTAGTCTAGACATTTTACTTATAATCCTGTGAATGTCACACAATCTGTAGTCTAGACATTTTACTTATAATCCTGTGAATGTCACACAATCTGTAGTCTAGACATTTTACTTATAATCCTGTGAATGTCACACAATCTGTAGTCTAGACATTTTACTTATAATCCTGTGAATGTCACACAATCTGTAGTCTAGACATTTTACTTATAATCCTGTGAATGTCACACAATCTGTAGTCTAGACATTTTACTTATAATCCTGTGAATGTCACACAATCTGTAGTCTAGACATTTTACTTATAATCCTGTGAATGTCACACAATCTGTAGTCTAGACATTTTACTTATAATCCTGTGAATGTCACACAATCTGTAGTCTAGACATTTTACTTATAATCCTGTGAATGTCACACAATCTGTAGTCTAGACATTTTACTTATAATCCTGTGAATGTCACACAATCTGTAGTCTAGACATTTTACTTATAATCCTGTGAATGTCACACAATCTGTAGTCTAGACATTTTACTTATAATCCTGTGAATGTCACACAATCTGTAGTCTAGACATTTTACTTATAATCCTGTGAATGTCACACAATCTGTAGTCTAGACATTTTACTTATAATCCTGTGAATGTCACACAATCTGTAGTCTAGACATTTTACTTATAATCCTGTGAATGTCACACAATCTGTAGTCTAGACATTTTACTTATAATCCTGTGAATGTCTCACAATCTGTAGTCTAGACATTTTACTTATAATCCTGTGAATGTCTCACAAACTGTAGTCTAGTCATTTTACTTTTAATCCTGTGAATGTCACACAATTTATGGTTGATTGGTAATCATGATAAGTTTCCTTTGTCTTTAATTTCCATGTCATTGTCATGGTAACTAGATACACTAGTTGTTTGGTTACAGGTGTCACACACTGCTGTACTGTAGTAGTTTGACTGTGTGACCTCCCCATGTCCCAAACACTGTCCACAGGACATCCTCCCTGTCTATACCTACAGCCACTGTATAGCCTGTGTCTGTGTGTATGACCCTGAGGAACTCACCAACTCCACTGATGAGTAGGACCCTGTAGTTGTTATGGTCCCCTATGATCAGGTTCCCCACACTGTCATACACCACATCACGGGGGTAAAATGGTTCACCTTCTGTTTGTGGTGTTGGGTTATATATACTGGGGATGTCACCTCTATATACAAACAGCTCCTCGAGATCAGTGTCCATCACAACAACATGTCGTTTTCCATCACCACCATCACTTTCAATACTGAAATCAGTGACTGCCACATTGTGAGTGACAGGACACTCTGTGATCCTGTGTGGTGAACACACTAATGGTTTCCCAGTCCCTTTAGCCATTTTAGTACACACCATTTTACCATCTGTGGTAAATTTGGAGATGTGTTTGGTCATCCCTACAATGACATGGTTACTGGCTGTAACACATATACACTTGGGTTCCTCCTTGGTACTGAATCTGTGTTTCAGTCGTCCTGATACCAGCTCCATGATGCTGTATTCATAATCACAGACCCACAGTGTGTGTGTGGTGGGTGACAGGCTGATGTCATAGATACAGACATTGTTTTTGACCTTCTGTATTACTTTACCCTTCCTGTCCAGGTGAGTTAATTTGTCCAGGTACTTGGTCCACGCCTGACCATCAGTGGTGGGACATATAGACCTAATGTAACATGGAAACTCCCGCTCCTCCACTACCTCGGTCTGTGGCAGCAGTTTGTATGTTGTCACTGCTTTCTTCACTTTTGCTCCTGACCGTTGTTGTTGTGTAAAGGGTTGTCCCAGATCATCAGATGTTGAGACTGACCAATCCTGGTCAGTTAAAGTTTGACCTTGACCTGAGGTGGTAACTTTTCCCAAGGCTTTTTTCAAACGATCTTGAGGATTTTCATTTGGAGTGAAGTTGGCAGTAACTAGGACAGGTTTTACAGGAAGACCGTATGTAGGAGAATGGATCTCACAAAAAGCATCATAAATCTGTATGTGTGAACCACGCTGGAGAGCTGCTTTGCATTCTTGAACTTGTTGTTTGAGTTGCTTCTCGTACATCTCAAGGTCCTGTTTGTATTTATTTATCAGTTTGGTATTATCCTCTTCCATTTTGTGGTAACAAGAGAGTGTCTGTGCTGTAAGCATGTCCAGCTCTTGTTTTAATTTATCTGTTTGTAATTTTAACTGTTGTGACAACTTGTCAAAAGTACTGGTGTTGTCTTTAAGGAGCGTATCAGTAGAGTTGATGTATTTCCCAATTTGCACAAGGTCATTTTTTTCTGTTCTGTCTATAAAGTTTTTAATGTCTGGTTCTTTCTGAGGAGTGATTTCACTTAGCTCACAAAGTGGATGGATTTTGTGAATAGAGGAAAGGCATTTTGGACAAACCAGTTCCTGACATTTTTCACAATAAAATTCTAGTTTTCTGCCCTTGTGGTGAATACATGTCGTTTGACCTTTAATTCGGAGAGGAATTTGACTGATAGGGGTTGCCATTTTTTATGAAAAGCTAAATTATTTGTTGATATTTGTTGTTCTTGTATAAAGATACTGTTATCAGTAAACACTCGCAAATAAGATTTGGGTATGTCAAGAAGTGAAAACTTGAATGTCCCAAGGGACCAGTAGTATATGTTTGTTTAACATTTAGTAATGTATACACAGTATAGAATAACTACCTCACGATCACTGATGTCACAGGGTTACTGTGATGATGAATCCAGGTTTACCGTTCCTCTCATCAGAAGGTTCACATGTCATTGTCAATAGTTATCCAACCCTGGGATTCACAATCACCTGATATACTTCCCTCAGCTTTGTTGATAAATCTGTCACTTTTCTACAGACATTGTTAAAGTTTTGATAAAAACTTGGAAGTCATATTTCTGTCTGAAATTTGACAATGGTGCTGACTGGGAAGTAATATCAACAAATTTCTGCTCTGTGTTCACAAATCCATGGCAATGTGTAGATCTACCTGTTTAGACATGCAGGTGTGCAGACTAAATAACTTCCCTGTTGAGCAAGGTTACCGACAGACATACCGTGATAATAAATCAATAGACGGTATACTAGGTCAGTGTAGGTTGTGTTTAAAAACCGTAGCATTTACATACCTGGTGTGTATTGTCAAACATCTATGTATAATCAATAATGTGATACCTGTGCCTTGGATAGATATATATACATGTAAACTGGGTAATAGGCCATACCTGTACTGTGGGTAGATATACCTGTGTATTTGTTAATAAGGCATACCTGTACTGTATATAGATATTCCTGTGTATTGGGTAATAAGACATACCTGTACTGTATATAAATATACCTGTGTATTTGGTAATAAGACATACCTGTACTGTGGGTAGATATTCCTGTGTATTTGGTAATAAGACATACATGTTGGGTAATCAGACATACATGTTGGGTAATAAGACATACACGTTGGGTAATAAGACATACATGTTGGGTAATAAGACATACATATTGGGTAATAAGACATACATGTACTGAGGGTAGATATACCCGTGTATTGGGTAATAAGACATACCTGTGCTGTGGATAGATAAGACATACCTGTACTGTATATAGATATTCCTGTGTATTGGGTAATAAGACATACCTGTACTGTGGGAAGATATACCTGTGTATTTGGTAATAAGACATCCATGTTGGGTAATAAGACATACATGTTGGGTAATCAGACATACATGTTGGGTAATAAGACATACATATTGGGTAATAAGACATACATGTACTGTAGGTAGATATACCTGTGTATTGGGTAATAAGCCATACATGTACTGTAGGCAGATATACCTGTGTATTGGGAAATAAGACATACATGTACTGTGGGTAGATATACCTGTGTATTTGTTAATAAGATATACCTGTACTGTATATAGATATACCTGTGTATTTGGTAATAAGACATCCATGTTGGGTAATAAGACATACATGTTGGGTAATAAGACATACATATTGGGTAATAAGACATACATGTACTGTGGGTAGATATACCTGTGTATTTGGTAATAAGACATACATGTTGGGTAATAAGACATACATGTACTGTAGGTAGATATACCTGTGTATTGGGTAATAAGACATACATGTGCTGTAGGTAGATATACCTGTGCATTGGGTAATAGGTCATACCTGTACTGTGGGTAGATATACCTGTGTATTTGGTTATAAGACATACCTGTACTGTATATAGATATACCTGTGTATTTGTTAATAAGTATATAGATATACCTGTGTATTTGTTAATAAGACATACCTGTACTGTATATAGATATACCTGTGCATTTGTTAATAAGACATACCTGTACTATATATAGATATACCTGTGTATTTGTTAATAAGATATACCTGTACTGTATATAGATATACCTGTGTATTTGGTAATAAGACATACCTGTACCGTATATATAGATTTACCTGTGTATTTGGTAATAAGACATACCTGTAGGTATATAGATATACCTGTGTATTTGTTAATAAGACATACCTGTACTGTATATAGATATACCTGTGTATTTGGTAATAAGACATACCTGTACTATATATAGATATACCTGTGTCTTGGGTAATAAGACATACCTATACTGTGGGTAGATATTACTGATTATTGGGTATTAGGACATACCTGTACTGTGGGTAGATATATCTGTGTATAGGGTAATAAGACAAAACTGTACTATATATAGATATACCTGTGTATTTGGTAATAAGACATACTTGTACTATATATAGATATACCTGTGTATTGGGTAATAAGTGATACATGTACTGTATGTAGATATACCAGTGTACTGGGTAATAAGGCATACCTGACTGTATATAGATATACCTATGTATTGGGTAATAAGACATACCTGTACTTAAGGTAGATATTCCTTTGATTAGGGAAATAAGCCACACCTGTACTGTAAGTAGATATACCTGTGTATAGGGTAATAAGACATACCTTTACTGAAGGTAGATATACCTTTGTATTGGGTAATCAGACACACCTGTACTGTAAGTAGATAGACCTGTATATTGGGTATTTAGACATACCTGAACTGGGGGTATATATACCTGTGTATTTTGTAATGAGACAAAACTGTAGTAGGTAAATATACCTGTGTGTTGGGTAATAAGACATATCTGTGCTATTGATAGATATACCTGTGTATCCTGTGTATTGGGTAATGAGACATACCTGTACTGAAGGAAGATATACCTTTGTATTGGGTAATCAGATATACCTGTACTGTATATAGATATACCTATGTATTGGGTAATAAGTAATACCGGAACTGTAGGTAGTTATACCTGTGTATTGGGGAATAAGATATACCTGTACTCTGGGTAAATATACCTGTGTATTATAGGGTAATAAGACATACCTATACTGTGGGTAGATATTTCTGATTATTGGGTATTAGGACATACCTGTACTGTGCGTAGATATATCTGTGTATAGGGTAATAAGACATACCTGTGCTTTGGGTAGGTATACCTGTGTATTGGGTAACAAGACATACCTGTACTGAAGGGAGATATACCTTTGTATTGGGTAATCAGACACACCTGTACTGTAAGTAGCTATTCCTGTGTATTTTGTAAGAAGACATATCTGTACTGTGATAGAAATGCCTGTCTCTTGGTTAACAAGACATACCTGTGCTGTGGGTAGGTATGTCTTATTAACCAATAAACAGGGATATCTACCCCCAGTTAAGGTATGTCTTAATACCAAATATACAGGTATATCTACTTACAGGACAGGTGTGTCTTATTACCATATACACACCTGTACTGTAAGTAGCGATACCTGTGTATTGTGTAATGAGACATATCTGTACTGTAGGTATAAGACATACCTGTACTATATAGAGATATACCTGTGTCTTGTGTAATAAGACATACCTTTACTGAAGTTAGATATATCTTTGTATTGGGTAATAAGGCATACCTGTCTGTATATAGATATACCTGTGTCTTGTGTAATAAGACATATCTGCATTGTGATAGATATACCTGTGTACTGGGTAATAAGGCATACCTGTACTGAAGGAAGATATACCTTTGTATTGGGTAATCAGACACACCTGTACTGTAAGTAGCTATACCTGTATATTGGGTAGTAAGACATACCTGAACTCGGGGTAGATATACCTGTCTATTGGGTAATAAGACATGCCTGTACTAAAGGTAGATATACCTTTTGTGTATTGGGTAATAAAACATACCTGTACTGAAGGGAGATATACCTTTGTATTGGGTAATAAGAAATACCTGTACTGAAGGTAGATATACCTTTTGTGTATTGGGTAATAAAACATACCTGTACTGAAGGAAGATATACCTTTGTATTGGGTAATAAGAAATACCTGTACTGAAGGTAGATATACCTTTGTATTGGGTAATCAGACACACCTGTACTGTAAGTAGATATACCAGTGTATTGGGTAATAAGACAAACCTGTACTGTAAGTAGCGATACCTGTGTATTGTGTAAGAAGACATATCTGTACTGTAGGTATAAGACATACCTGTACTGGGTGTAGATATATATGTGTATTGGGTAATAAGTCATACCTGTACTGAAGGAAGATATACCTTTGTATTGGGTAATCAGACACACCTGTACTGTAAGTAGATATACTACCTGTGTATTGGGTATATCTATCACAGTACAGATACGTCTTATTACACAATACACAGGTATCGCTACTTACAGTACAGGTTTGTCTTATTACCCAATATACAGGTATATCTACTTACAGTACAGGTTTGTCTTATTACCCAATAAACAGGTATATCTACTTACAGGACAGGTGTGTCTTATTATCATATACACAGGAATATCTTCCTTAAGTACAGGTATATCTTAATACCCAATACACAGGTAGATCTACCCCGAGTTCAGGTATGTCTTACTACCCAATATACAGGTATAGCTACTTACAGTACAGGTTTGTCTTATTACCCAATAAACAGGTATATCTACTTACAGTACAGGTTTGTCTTATTCCCCAATACACAGGTATATTTCCCCACAGTACAGGTATACCTTATTACCCAATACAAAGGTATATCTTCCTTCAGTACAGGTATGTCTCATTACCCAATACACAGGCATATCTACCCCCAGTTCAAGTATGTCTTATTACCCAGTACACAGGTATATCTATCCACAGTACAGGTATGTCTTTTAACCAAAAACCCAGGTATATTTACCCCCAGTTCAGGTATGACTTAATACCCAATATACAGGTATAGCTACTTACAGTACAGGTTTGTCTTATTACCCAATAGACAGGTATATCTATCACAATGCAGATATGTCTTATTACACAAGACACAGGTATATCTCTATATAGTACAGGTATGTCTTAGTACCCAATACACAGGGATATCTATATATAGTACAGGTATGTCTTAATACCAAATATACAGGTATATCTACTTACAGTACCTGTGTATTGTGTAAGAAGACATATCTG